TGTTTTTATGGATCTCTCACAGTCTCTGTATGAGAGACTCGAACGATAAAATTGTTAATTCAGAGATTCGAGTCTCTCACAGAGAGACTGAATGAATAAAACTGAAAAATTGAGAGACTCGAGTCTCTCGTAGAAAGACTGGGATCTCTGAAATATGTTAAACTTAGAAAATTTTAACCATGTCTATCGAGACACCACTTATTGAGAGATTCGAGCCTCTCGTTCAGAGAGTGCATACGAAATGAGGATCTCTCTATGAGCGACTCGAGCCTCTTGTTTGGAGTCTTTGACAGTCCTCTCAGCGACACCAGAGAGACTCGATGAGAGACGGAGACTCGAGACTCTGAGAGACTGAACATTTTTATCTCTGGTAGCTGTGGTTAATTTTTTTTATTGTCATAATTTTTGTATATTTTCGCACTACTAATAAGTAACGTTATTTGACTTAAAAGCGATTTGTTTGGTATAAGTAGTAAAAATCATTGAACCAAAACATAATTTAGTTTAAACATAAACTTATTTATAAACATACTTAATAAACACAGTGGCTTTTTCAAGTGGAAAAAGTAAGAATGATTATTAAGTCAATAAATTATTTTGTAACTTAAAATGAAGTTACAAAAATTGAAAACTCCGTACATTTAATAAAATTATTTGTATTGCATATGTATGTAAATGTGTATTAATTCAGTTAGTAAAATGACTTAAGCGTCCGTACTTGCTAGGTTTAAAAGCGAATTAGCTTGCTAAAGTTGAATTAACAATTTATTAAAAATACATTTCAGTATAATGGGGGAGCAGGTCGACGATTCTATTTATAATAATAACGTAGTAAATATGATGCTGGTATAATATTATATGGAAACGTGACAACACTGCAACTGGGCCCCTTGTTCAACTATATAGCTGTGTGGGCGTTTTGCGAGTCGATATAAAATTTCATACTAGCGCTTGCGCCGAATAAAAAAACTACCATTTTTGCAGGACAAAATTGTCAGTTTTTATACACTCGCTCGCCTTAATACAACCGAAAATAAACTCGGTGAATGATACGTGTTTCTGATTTGTCTGTGATTAAAAAAGTCGGGAAAATGATCAACCAGTGTGTGAATAAGGATATCGAAAAGAAGCTTTACTACTCGGAAATGTTCAGGGTGCCTCCAATTCTTCTTGATTCTGTACCAGATAGTATTTTGAGTATGACTTTTTCATCTATCTAATTGTAAATTAAACTTACAACTTTCTTAATCACTATAATCATATTCTCATTGAGATATAGATAAAATACCTTTTGAAAGCATAAGAATTACCTACCTGCTTAAATATCTTTTAGCCTTTTAATTTCAAACTTTTTACGCATGTTATTCTGTCTCGTGATTGGTTGAAATTGTACCAACTTATTTAAACATAAGTATAACTTACAAATGTATAATAATGATACAAAGCAACAAATTATAAAGATAAGCGTCTGGGTTCTATAAAAAATTACGCACAATCGGTCTAATCACCGAAGTAATTTTTCACAGAAAAAGTTTTATGTTATATTTACTAAAGTTTTGTCGAAATAATAAGTTCCACAAATATAATTTCTACGCCATAAACCCTTATTAGTAGGTACACATTCAATTGTTTGATCTTGATTTTATCCTTCGAAGTCCTTCGCGAAGACGTAAAGTTCGAAATTGATCTAATGACATGTCGTCTTAAAATTTTCGCTACAGAATTACGAACATTACAACTTGAAAGTTCGAACGTTTATTAGTCGTAAACCTAGAAGTACTTCCAACAATAAAGTTGATAATATATGTACTAAAANCATGACCCAAATGACTTTATTATTAGCAAAGTTAGAAGCAATTGAAATGTGATGGTATAATGATGAGGAAGTCAATAAAGTACGACTCCTTCTGAGACATGAAGGGCTCGTTAGGGGAATGTTAAAAGCAAAAACAAGACCAAAGGGGCGCAGAAAAATATCAATAGTAAGCAAGTAGAGAGCTAAGGATGTGGTATATCAATAATGACTGACTGACTGATGATGAGGAATCAAACAGATGATTGCATAAATATTTCATTTCAAAAGGGGTATTAAAAGACTTTTTAAACAAATAAAATTAACTAGCATAAATTGCATGTTAGTATCTTTATTTTCATATCGGCAGACATACCTATATTGTATTTTACAAATGGATCAGTTAATGTATGAAAAATTTCTACGTAGAAAACTCTAAAAGGAATACAGATCTAGGCATATTGTATTCCTTTCACGAATCGTAAACAATTTTGACACTTATATTCTTAAAAAAATTAAAGGAAATTTACATTTCATTTCCTTTTACTAGATAAATGTGTAACATATCGGCTATTTAATTAATTGAGTTTTAGTTTTCTTTAGTTTTATTTTTCGAATACACTTAGAAAAATGCAAAATATAGTTTCAAATAGATGCTATAAAATTCAGTACAATTTAAGAAAGCTAATTTGTAATTTTCGATTTAATCTTTATTTTTTTCCCTTCTGATGTGATATCTATTTTATAATTTATTAATTAATTGATTTTTTAAGAAACCATCTATAAATTACGTTATACAAATTTTATGATTTTTTAACCACCCCCTCAAGCCCGTCCTTATCCCCGTCCGACGTTAAGACATAAACCTTATAAATATAGATCGAGTTAGTAATATTTTTAAGATTTTTGTTTACATATAAATTTCGCGTTTTAATATTTTAGATTTTGACATGCATTTGAATCCCCCCCTCGCACAATGTCACATTTCGTTGATCCGCCCTCCCCTTAACGTGTGACGTAATTTGTGGATGGTCCCTAATTAGTATCGATCAACTAACCACGACGTAGATCGAATTTGAAATGTGTCCCTTCAAATTTTTCAAAAATACGAAATTTTATTTCCGAAAAATCCCCTAAGTGTACTTAGCGTAGTAATTTGCTGATGTAACAATGCTGATTGTGTTTATGTGGCGCTGTGGGTACAGACGTTTCGGCACAAAGTGCGCCGGTTGCGACCTGGGTATTCCCCCGACGCAGGTGGTCCGCAGGGCTCAGGACAACGTCTACCACTTGCAATGTTTCGCTTGCGCCATGTGTGCTCGTCAACTTAACACCGGAGACGAATTTTATCTAATGGAAGACCGGAAACTCGTCTGCAAACCTGACTACGAAACAGCAAAAAGTAAAGGTAAAATAGTTACCACCAAAAATCAAAAAAATACCATACGATTTACCAAAATTTCGATGGTAACTTGTGATTCGAATTGTAATTTTTTAATAGCCTAGACAATTTTGTTGTTTGTTATTGTATGTTTTATTTGTTGATTTAGCTGCGGAATGTATGGACGGAGATCAACCTAACAAAAGGCCTCGTACGACAATAACTGCCAAACAATTAGAAACTTTAAAAAATGCTTACAATAATAGTCCGAAGCCAGCAAGGCACGTAAGGGAGCAACTAAGCCAAGACACGGGCTTAGATATGCGAGTCGTCCAAGTGTGGTTTCAAAATAGGTGAGTTCGTCTCGTAAAGTTTAATTTTCCGAAATACGAATGACAAATGATCTTTTAAACGTAATTGTTATGGTTGTAATGATCCATAATACTCTAAAGATAGAATGTTTCAAGATGGAGTATTTAAATATTTAACTAAACGTTAGCAATAAATAGATAATTGTTAAGCTTGGTAAAAGCTTCTTTTATTTTCATAAGGGTTGTTTGTGTTTCTTTCAAAGGAGAGCAAAAGAAAAACGACTGAAAAAGGATGCAGGTAGAACGAGATGGAGTCAATACTTTAGGTCAATGAAAGGGGGTTCATCACCACGCCATGACAAACTGTTAGATAAAGATGAATTGAAAGTAGATCTTGATAGTTTTAGTCATCATGGTAAGTTTATTACTGTAGACGTCCACACAAAATAGTAAATGTTAATTTTTTATTGATCTCTAATTAGACTTAAGCGACGACAGTTATGGGACTGTGGTTAATATGAGTATGGATCAGGATACCTCTTCGCCTCACAGTGGTGTCGGTCGTCCTCATCCGTTCCTTCACGGGTCCACTTCGCCGTCTTATCTTCCGGGTCACACTCCACCACAAGGCCACGACCACTTCCCTTATTCGGATCAACTGTCTGTTTACGCTCCTCTTGGTAAGAGAAAGTCATCAACCATTTTTCTTAAACGATTCGATGGACTTATTGTTACAGGCCAAGGTCCTCCACCAGGAATTGGGATTCCTCACGGCATTCCCGCAAACGGTGATACAGATATTAGTAACGATAGCAGTCCCCGGGGATACCCTGACTTCCCTCCAAGTCCCGACTCGTGGTTGGGTGAACCGTCCAGCGCACATTACTGACCCAGCCATACCAAAATTCCCATCAATCATCATCCAAACCATTCTCGATGACACCGCTTTATTTATACTAACAATAATAACAATTTAAATCAGCACACGCATTATACCGCACAACAGTTGCGTCTTTTGGTTTCTAACACTTCAACGACGCCTCCGTTTGGATTAATTGGATAAATATCCAAATTGCCCGTAACACTTGAATGAAGATTTTACAAGGACCATTTTCAGTCGCTAGTGCAACCCAATTTTCTTTACTTTCTACCGGACTCATAGCTACTTTTTCAATTCTGTGCAAGGATTTGTTCGTTCTTGACGTTTCCGAAGGCATGTTCAAAAAGAAATGCCTAAATAAAGACCATTATGCCTTAACATTGATATAAAAATGCGGGGATAATTCGAAAGATTGAGTATTTGGATATCAGAAGTATAGCATCATTAATACTCGAGTCAAAAAATTGTGACTCATTTTGTCCTCATTTGATCTCAATAGAATTTTTAGAGATATTTCAAACTACAAGACTCAAAAGTCTCATTTTATCCGCGGTTTTCCCGTATCAGGACAAAATGAGACTTTTGAGGAGTAAAGATTATTTAGGAAACCTCATTTTGTCTTCAAAAAGTCTCATTCTTTTCTTGTTGAGGTTAAATTGAGGACTATTGCCATAGGATTGCAGACATTGAGAATAAAATGAGACTTTTTAGAATCCAATGTGATGAGTCTTATGAAAACTTATTGAGGTATCTGAGATTAAAAACGTCTAAATGAGGAAAAAATGAGTCTAAATAGTTCATTTGAGGATAAAATGAGTCCCAATTTTTCGACTCGGGTATTACCTACAAATTAATCTAAAATTTTGGAACCTGAACAAGCTGAGAAATTAATCCCACAAGTCCCGTTTTTGGAAACACTTTGTCTTTCAAAATTGTTCCAGCTTTTCAAATTCAGAGAATCATAAATTCAATCGTCAAAAATTAGCAAATCTTAGTAAGGAATTAACAGGAAGAAGTAGTCATATTTTTTTTTTTTTAACAATGATACTTAATTCCTTTCACCATACGATGTATAAAAGTGATGTAAAATAGTGACTATTGCTGTATATAAAGGAATGTAAGTATGCGTGAATGCGTATGTATGAATTTTGAAAATGATATGGTTGTATACAGTTAATTCTAGTCAACGTGGATCTAAAGGATTATTATTATTGTGTCAGTATGAAAAATGAGAATATTCTAGTCTTAAGAATATTGTTTTATTAATACATATGTCTTCAAATATATTTGTTGCGTAAGAAATTACTATTAATTATTTTGAAACGTGTGCCTTTTTGGTACACAATGCTGATATCAGGTAGGTAATAGTTCTCTACATAATCCAGATTACATGACCCAAATGACTTTATTATTAGCAAAGTTAGAAGCAATTGAAATGTGATGGTATAATGATGAGGAAGTCAATAAAGTACGACTCCTTCTGAGACATGAAGGGCTCGTTAGGGGAATGTTAAAAGCAAAAACAAGACCAAAGGGGCGCAGAAAAATATCAATAGTAAGCAAGTAGAGAGCTAAGGATGTGGTATATCAATAATGACTGACTGACTGATGATGAGGAATCAAACAGATGATTGCATAAATATTTCATTTCAAAAGGGGTATTAAAAGACTTTTTAAACAAATAAAATTAACTAGCATAAATTGCATGTTAGTATCTTTATTTTCATATCGGCAGACATACCTATATTGTATTTTACAAATGGATCAGTTAATGTATGAAAAATTTCTACGTAGAAAACTCTAAAAGGAATACAGATCAAAATACGTATACTACTGTTGGATACTGTTCATTAAAACTAAAGTAGCTATTGGCATACACTTTTACTAACATTTAAAGTTCGGTGGTGGTAACTCCCCAATATTGCTGCATTCTATCAAGGTCCACAGAATCGGCTAAACCTCTTTCGTGCATGACGGCAAAGTCGTATTCTAAATTGTAAGGCATTAGTCTTTGCAAGCTTCCGAAATATGCGGCATGCGGTCCCCCGATCAATTTTTTGTCTTGGTATAACTTAGACGTGGATTTGGACAATAGAGGATTATACGATCTCGAACTCCCAAATTGTTTCGACAAGAAGGACATGCCCGAATTCGTGCCGGCTTCCGCTAAGTGGGGACTGCTCCTAGAAATGGGCAGTAGTTTCGACGGAAATGCGCGAGACTTGGACGCACCCTTCCCCAAACTATTTAATTCCTTATCAAACAACATCTGAGTATTCTGCTCTAGCATATATTCCCAACATTTAAATTGTTCTTCGGACAAAGCAGAATCGGAATCGTCTTTGTTTTTATCCTCATCTTTTCTACTTCTAACAGCTTTTGCTACACCCCTGTAACTTCTCCTTTCTCCTGAGGACGAACCTTTTGCCGACTTGATATCGTTATGTCTTTGGAACTGTTGAACGAAAAATTTTGCCGACGAATTACAGTCACTGCAGGCTTGATCGCTTTGACCGCTGGGAGATGATCGATCTTCGTTGGTGATTATAGGGGGTGGAAGGGGAATTTTCTCTAAACAAGTCGTACACGCGTTGCTCAACGCTTCGCAACAACAGCCTGGCTGACACGTGCTGGCCGTAGAAAATCCACTTTCGCTTTGATATTTGTTCTTCCTTATTGTTTGCCTCAACTCTCGCATTAGGATGTCCACGTCTGAATTGACAAGATTGAATTTCACGACGATGATACTCAAATTCTCTTCGGCGCCGTAACTTTGAGCCAAATCTTGTAGTCGTTTTGCCGCTAGAATTACATTCTGTTGGTAACTTACTTCTTTGATAGCAGTTTCGGGACTTATCACATCCCACAGGTTTTTATTAGCAATTATCATGTATTCGTCGCTTTCTTCCAGGTTTATGTCGGTAACTTCCGGGTCCGGAATGAGATTGTGAAGGTGATTGTGACCAAGTTGAGCTCTTCTAATCTGCTTTTGGGGCAAAATCTGCACGGGGCCCGACTGTTTTCCTAGAACTACCCTAATTTCACCGACACTAGCTATTTTCATCGTGTACCTTTTTATTCCGCCAATTAGAAGGTTTTCGTTGGTTCCTTTTTCTTTATATACATGTACCAAAATAGCATTCATGCCATTTTTATGACCTTTATCCCTCAAGACCTTATGCGTCGATAGAATCGTATATTTCATGTAATCGTTGGCGGTTTCTTTTATCGTTCTCTCTTCCAAAAGGATCCTTGGAACGATCTTATCCACGTGGATGGGTATTTCGGTGTAATTTTCAGCATCAAAGATCCCAAAAAGTCCCTCGGTATTGCAAAACGCGGGCAGACGTACCTGGGACACGTAAAGTTTTTGTTTACTCCCGGAAGTTTCTGAAAAACCAACGCTCCAGTTGGATTGAGTTAAGTCTGCCTCGCAGAATGAGGAAGGCGTCAAGGGAAGTGTGGTCCGATTCTTCCCGGAAACGTCCACCAAACTCATGGGTCTTTGAGTTCTGTAGGTGTTGAACTGTTGTGAGTCCACGTGGAGCTTCGTGTTGCATGACAAATCTAGGAACTTTAAATTGGAAGGAATGAGAGTTGTCAGGTCGATTTTGTCCAAATGATTGTGCGCCAAGTCGAGAACTCTCAGGTTATTGAGCGTCGACAGCTTAGGACACGATTGCAACAGATTCGAATGAAGCCTTAAGATTGCCAAATGTTGAAGACGACCGATGTCGTCGGGAAGTCGGACTATTCGATTACCGGATATTACAATTTCCTCGATTTCCGTCCAGATTGCCGGAAAATTGTCAGGCATCGACGTTAAGTTGTTATAGGCGACATGGAAAACTTTCAAGTTCCTCAAATGCGAGCACAGGCGTTCGAATGTTCTATCGCATAAACAATTCGCCGTTAAAAACAATTTCTCGATGTATAGGACTTCATCGGTTGTGGGTAGTTCGTAAAGTCTGTTATTGGAAACGTTTAATACTTTTAACCGATTGAAACAGGTGAAAAGATTTTCCGGAAGAATCGACAGGTTGTTGTTCTGTAGGAAGAGCTCGTTTATTGGCATTTTTCTTTGTATTGTTGGAAGACTGTACAGCTGATTGTAGGCCAATTGAATTGTTGACAACTGAGACATTTCGTTGCAAAAAATATGATCGGGCAAGGACTTGAGATTGTTATTACTTGCGAATAATGATCTTAAATCACGACAGTTTAAAATCCATTCGGGTAATGCGTCCAAATTATTGTAAGAAATGTCTAAATGTTTTAGCCCATATGGGGGATGAACCACTGTCAGTGTTTGGAGCCCTTAACAAAACACAATTTACAGTTTACAATTATTAACCAATAAAAACGCATTTAAAATTTAACAAGTAATTGAGTATACGACCAACCAACTACAAATAACTCATTTAAATCGAAAATACTCACTGTTATTGCCTGCCAATATTGAAATTAAAGTCCTTCCGTGAAGCATTAATTGTACAATGGAATTTTTTGAACAGTGTAGAACTTTCAGATTTTCTACAGCACTCAAATCTAAAATTTCTATACTGTTTTCACTCACATCGAGCTCCGTTAAATTCTAAAAATAATACTGGATTACATTTAAAACTGAAAATTCAAGTAATTTTTATACTTACTCCATAATTTCCTAATATAATGTTTCCTTTTAGTCTGTTACCTCGCAAGTTTAAGCTAGTAATAGTTTTTGTTTTCTCGGAATTATCGGTTAATTTGTCAATACCCTTTAAAAAAACAAAAAAACAAATATCAAATATTAGATATTATTACATTCGGCTTAACAGAAAGTTATAGGAATTACTTTATAATTTTGTGACTTGAAAATAATATAATATATTAGATTAGTTACCTAAAACTAAAAGTCGTTATTTTCGAATGTCTGTATAATTTATTATTTAGGTGCTTATTAAAAATATCTTTAATATTTTAAAAACTGCTTTCCTTTGCTTATTGAATTTTGAAAAAATCTACTTTGTGTCTGCGAAATGTTTATTACTTCCCGAAGAGACTTCAATGATAGGTTAAGCGACGAACCCGACTTTTAACGCCTTATTTTCTTGCATTATTCATAGCTATATCATCAACGATTCAATAACTGTCAGTAAAAGGCTTTCTTCTATAAATCAAATTTTGAAAACAAACCTTCGAAGTGGTCTGTATTCTGTCGAAACTGCCAGACGCGGATCGCGATTTCGATCTTTTTGGATTTCATCAGCGCGTCGCAGGCATCTCCGACAGAACACAGACCAACTATTACCTGCTGTTTTAACAGTGAGTTTCAGAAAATACTACAAACGGCACAGTGAACGCCATCTGCAGCACGATGCTACATTTTAGGATTACAGATAGCGTTCACTGTGCCGTTTTTAGTATTTTCTGAAACCTTCGTTTATTGATATTGATTGCAAAAAACTGCAAAGTACACGTCACTTTCCGAAAAGACTCCAACAGTAGGTCAAGCGACGAACCCGACGTTTTGTGAATTACATTATTCGTTGCTCAATTAATACTGCCACCATATTAAATTATATTGGCAACTAATTTGACAAATAAGAAGCGCTATTATTTAATTGTATACGATTCCGTTAAATAATTATTGCAAATATTTTTTATTTTTTTTTTATTTTGATATATTAATAGGTACAACAAACATTTTGTTTCTCACCGTTAGAACAAATGATCTCATTTCTATAAATTTATCAGGAGGTAGGGCTAATCTGTTGTGTGCCACCCTCAGGACTCTTAGCAACTTCAAATCCCATATAGTTGGTGGTAGAATACTAAGAACATTGTGATCCAGGAAAAGTTCTTCTAGACTTTAATGAAAAGGCAGTAATGAGTAGCAGTATATTCATTAGGTAACATCATGTAACGGATATTAACATTTGGGTTAGATCGGAAAGATTACGACTAGCTTAAAACAATCGCTAATAAACAACGGAAGATTAAACGCATTGGTGAAAGTTCTAGAAAATTATCTTTATTATTATGCTATACGTGCATGGTAACTTTTAATTTTATTTCAAAACTGGTCTTCTTCTACTGTAAAGACGAATGAGGGAGTATACAGGGTGACCCAAGAAGTTTGCAATATACCCATTGCGGCCAAACTGTAAGTTTAATCGAAAAAGATTTTAAACAAAACTTGTTCTTTAGTTTAATAAAGGAGCGTCTGTTTTATCCAAATTTGATTTCCTATACACAGTTTTCAACAATAGAAAAAATAAGGTTTCCTTTAAATGACAGCCATAAGAAGTATGTCTCCAATCGAAAAAATTATTGTAAAACGTTCTTCAGAAAAAAATGCGGCGATATTCAAATGTTTTTCGAAACAATTGATCAAAAAAGTTCGTATTATTCTCATTGCAGCTAAATTGAAAGTTTAATCACAAAAATTTTCAAACAAAACTTGTTCCCTATTTTACTACTTTATTGTCTGTATTATCCATATTTGTTTTCCTATACAGAGTCTTCAAAAATAGAAAAAATAAGTTTCGTTTAAATAGCAGCCATGTGAAATAGGCAAAAGTTCTTCAGTATGCAAAAATATGGGGCTATGCAAAAAAATCGAGCATTTAAAATAGAAAAAGGAAAATAATAGTATATTTTACATTTGAATTACCAAATCAGAATAAATTAAAACACTTTTAGCAAGCAATTTTTCTATGTAATAGGTACTTGAAAATCATCGGAAAATTCATGAGAATGTACCAATAATTAGAAATGGGATTAAAAGTTTTGGCCAAAAAAAATTCACAAAAACATAATAGATATAAAAAAATAGGTATCAGCTAAATTTGTAATCACCACCCTACATAGCACATTTGGCAATAAATGACCTTTTGTATTCCTATTTACTTAATTTATTGCACTGGTAATTACAATATTACAAATCTTAAAAAGATCAGTTTCATTTTATTATCTATATTTAGGTTTGTGTATGATTAATATCATTCAGTATACACATTTTTCTGTCTGATAATCTTTGATTGACTCAATGAATCAATAAAATTATTTATTAAAAAAAATAGTCCTAGTAGTAGTTTTAATCGATAATAATTACTCATCAATTGATCGTAAAATCGAAAGGTAAATATTTAAGCATTCAAAATTTTTTGACAGCGAATTTTCCGGCTGATAACCGGATGTCTCAGAGGTACCCTAAAGGAAGACATGGCCCTCCTGTTGGTACCTACACACTATTACCTTGCGTGCTCCCGTTAGCGGTGACAATTGTAAGATACTACCGTCATATTCGTGAAAACTTCTCGTGACAATAACGAATGTCAGTGACTGTAACAAATTTTCCGAATTTCAGCCAATTTGTTCGCACAAACAGTAACCACACAGCACTTGTTTCTATCTCGGTCAGTCAACAACCACTTGTTCGCGTATAAAGAATCCCATGTACTTAACGTAGCACGTGGATCTGTACCGTCTTCTTTTTTTTTTTACTTCTTCGTTCATTCTAATCGGATGATGACGATACAGCGTCTTGGATGAGCAAGGAACCGTAACAGGAACAAACGGAAACGGTTGCACCGACACAAGCCGCGTATTATTATCGTAGACACGTTATTCTTTTTCCGATTTCTCAATATCTTTATATTTAAAGGACTACATGCGAAAATTTTTTTATGTCTAGATTTGGAGGCCTAATACTATCTCAGAAACGAATGAAAATAAAACAAAATTAATAAACGTTATGTCGTAATCAATAGAGCCAATTAACCAATTCCTAGTTTAAAACTATGCTTCAAACAGGGGCGAATCCAGATACAATTATTGTGAGAAGGTGGAATTAACTTTTTCCTAAATGCAGGTTCGGGAATAGGTTCTCCATTAGGTTGCGTTACAAAATTGAGTCATTTGATTTGGCTTTATCCTCAAAATGAATGTTAAAATCGTCAACTTGTCGCAATTTATTTTATTTTCTTACTGAATAATATTTTAATTAGATTTTAATCATTATCAATTTATATTTTACAATAGGATGAATACTTTCAGCACAATTTATGAAAGTTTCATTGCAATTTATATTAACTATTGAATCAATATCAAGTTGATCCTTTAATCCTTAAATCCAATATGCTATTAGTTACTATAATCTATTATGATCTACATATATAATTTAATAATATGCATTACACATCATCACACCTTCATAGCGATTAAGATAATACTTTTTTATCTCAATATCTCAAAAATTTTTGGGAAAAACGTAAGAATTCTACGTTATTATTAATATATAAATAAATGGTTTTCATATATTGAAGAAGCATCGAATATCAGCAAGGTTTTTGGTGTTACAAAATATATTTTCTTAAATATTACGGTATTACTTACTTGATCAAGCAATTTATTTCTGGTGGTAAAGTTAGTAACCAGTTGTTGGAAAGGTCCAGTCTGACCAAAGAAGTAATTTTAAGAATGCTAGTCGGAAATATTTGCATATTGTTATGTCGCAATGTAAGAATTTGTAAATCCATGAGAGTCCTTAAGGAAGAATCAGGAATATTAACGTCCTCAAAAAAATAATCACAGTCTGCCAATTTATCACAAATACCGTCCAGATTTAAACACATTTTATCCTTTTTTGGGCTCTCCGTTTGTCGTGGAGAAGTGAAAACAACCTATAATTTATGAACTATTCTTGAAAACAAAAGGTACAAAACCGATCTGAGTGATAATAATTGTACTTTTTTCACAAAAGAAAACAATTTTTTTGAAACCATTACGAAAAACAGAACAAAAATAAATAATGACTAAATGTGTTGGAAAAAACAGAAGAATAACAACACATTTCGTTCATCAATAGTTATTGATTGGGATATCAAAACAAAATCGAACAGATGAGTCTATAACTTCATCTAACTCCATATTAGGCAGAATAATAGATAACTAGTTTATTCTGCTTTATGCCAGAAAGCACCGAGATGACAAATAAAAATTTCGACTCAAAAGAAAATGAACAAAAAAATGAAACTCATGTATTTAGTTATGTAATTACTGTATGTGACACGGTACATATTTTTATAAAACAATTTTTACGTGAAGCCTCAAAAACAAATGTGAAAAAAGCACTAATATACAAGTACTATTATTTATTTCCAATAAAAATCCCTAATAAAATTAAATGTACCTCTTCGACGTTTTCCAATGAGTCCATTTCTATGCCATCGGATCCAATTGATGTGAAATTAGATCTTAGAAATGCTGAGGAACGAGCTGGTTTTTTTGGTGGAATATTTAAAAACATTTTTACCGAATATCTCACAACTGTTTCAATTTCTTAGTTAAATGTCTAACTATTGAACTTAACTAACAGGTTGTTAATGATTTCATCCAATTTTTCATTTCACTCAACTGGTTGTTGACGATTTTCATTTTATTTTTGTACATTTTTGGCTTTTCAGTATATCTGGGTTATTATGCAAATTTTTAAAACTGTAACATGGACGAATATTTGTACACTTGGTTCTAAAGTTAGGACTGTCTTTCACAAACTAAACAAGAACGACATTATCGGAGGCAAAAAGCGTAGGGAACTTAGGTAATTTTGTCGCGAATGTATTCTAGGTGTAACAATAACCGTGACAAAACGGCAGAAAAGAGAAGTCAATTCTACTTCGGATCACGCCAAGTCCTCAGTTAAACATCGTCAAAATTCTGATCACGTCGCAATTCGGTCTCTAAATTTATACAAGTTTTTTCTTTATCCCGTAGGTATTCGTCGTCTTCTTGCTGTATATATTTTCCGTGTAACAACTACGACACCTGCATAGGTAATTATCAGAAACCTACAGTTATTAACAAAAAAAAAACAAAAGCAAAGTCAGTAGGGATTACACCAGGGGCGGCCAACCTACGACCCACCGCTTTGTCTATTCGCCATTTTCGGTACTGTACCGATTACTAAGAAATTATTTGCCGGCACAGTACCGGTGACTAAAAAACTATTTGCCGGTACTGTACGGGTAACTAAGAAACTATCTTCAGGTACGGTACCGGTGACTAAGAAATTTTTGCCAGTACAGTACCGGTGACTAAAAACTATTTGCCGGTACTGTACGGGTGACTAAAAAGCTATTTACCGGTACTGTACGGGTGACTAAGAAACTATTTACCGGTACTGTACTGGTGACTAAGGAACTATTTGTTGGTATAGTGACGATTATTAAGAAATTATTTGCCGGTACAGTACCGGTGACTAAGAAACTATTTACTGGTATAGTGCCGATTACTAAGAAACTACTTGCCGGTACAGTACCGGTGACTAAGAAATTATTTGCCTTTATAGTGCTGATGACTAAGAAACTATTTGCCGGTACTGTACGGGTGGCTAAAAAGCTATTTACCGGTACTGTACTGGTGACTAAGGAACTATTTGTTGGTATAGTGACGATGATTAAGAAACTATTTGCCGGTACAGTACCAGTGACCAAGAAATGATTTGCCGGTATAGTGCTGATGACTAAGAAACTATTTGCCGGTACTGTACGGGTGACTAAAAAGATATTTACCGGTACTGTACTGGTGACTAAGAAACTATTTGCCGGTACTGTACGGGTGACTAAAAAGCTATTTACCGGTACTGTACGGGTGACTAAGAAACTATTTACCGGTACGGTACCGCCGATTAAGAAATTATTTGCCGGCACAGTACCGGTGACTAAAAAACTATTTGCCGGTACTGTACGGGTAACTAAGAAACTATCTTCAGGTACGGTACCGGTGACTAAGAAATTTTTGCCAGTACAGTACCGGTGACTAAAAACTATTTGCCGGTACTGTACTGGTGACTAAGGAACTATTTATCGGTACTGTACCGGTGACAAAAAGCGTTTCGCCATTACGCTGTTACAATGTTTTTTGGTGCTGTAAATTGTATTGACTTTGAATTAAAAAATCCGAACGAAACATCGCAGAAATATAAACATATTTTCAATAATATTGTATTTAAATTCCTTCATTAACTAGTAATTAAAACAATCAAAAGACAAAAGAAAGTTTAATCAAGTAAATACATATATTATTTAAAGCATACATATGTGTGTAGATAAGAGTAAGAATAAGATTAACTATTGGTATAATAATAAATAATTAAAATAAATCAAAGCAATTTAAAAATGGATAAAGTCAAATTCACGATCCATCTTCAGGGTAATTATAAGCTTTTCAGTGTCGTTATCCCACTTAGCATCTCCCAATTGAGGATCTACCGGATGAGGAAGTGGGATGCTAAGCTTGAAGCGGGGTGAAGTTAAATTTAAGATTTCCTTTTCAACTTTTAAATCAATGTTATGATACTTTTCTTCGGGTAAATAAACACTAATTATCATGTCTTCGCAGCTGATGGTAGATGGAGTTTTTCCACCCATCTTAAATATAATAGATATTGTTGACTTAAATACGTATTAGAAAACAGAGCTAGGTTCAGATACTCGTAAAATGTATCCGAATATAAAACGGGATACAAGATCTAGATAAATTTTTGTATTGAAAATACTTCATGAAATTTAAGGTGAAAATATAAGTGTAAAGTTCAGGAAAACTTTGTCAAATAATAATTGGAAAATAATACCTAATACAATTATGTATGTATATATTAAAACTTATTATTTCTGTTTGGATTTTTTTTGTCAACACGAGTTTGAAAATTATCATCGGATAAGACAATCGGCTTATCCACTATTATAGAGCAGACAATATGATAAGAGATACCATTTCTCACTTGTACTATACGGGAAAGATTTAGATTTGTAGCCGTAGAAAGATAAAAAGTATCCGGATAGAGATACCTGTGGGATGGAGATAACAGATACATTTTTCCCAAAAGATTCGTATACATATTCTGTGTATACATATATAGTATCCGAATACCGGAAGTATGAATGAAAAATCCCTTTCCTTAGAGTAATTAGTTCAAATCTAAATTATATAACTTCATTTATTTTAATTATTTTTTTATAAAGTGACAATAAAGTAATATACGGCTTGTACCACTTTCATTATCCATAAGAATTACCTGTAAAAACACATCCGATGGTGTAACACTTTGCCTGTAACTTATATCCCATTGTGGAGTTTTTTTCCAATCGTCGTTTACAGTATTTTCGTTTAGAAATTCAAAGTCCTCAGGAGTGACCTTTGTTTCAATCTTTCTGTATTTATTTTCTCTCTCCTTCTGCTCTTTATTTAATTCGATCTTGTTTTTTGTTTTTGATTTCGTTCCAACATGCGAAGATTTGTCACCAGTTCCTGTTAAATGTAACATTTAGTATACAAAAATCTACTCCATATTCTCTATATTCTTTTTCCTACCTTCCTCCTCTTCAAGATGTTCTTCTTCAGAGTCCGAATAATCATGATATGTTTTAACATTCAAAAGTTCGGCCAATTTTAATACCATATTAGGATCTTCCATACTTTACAATTTTTTCCCACCGCGTCAACTATATTGACAAAACAATCTAAAAGCAATTTTCCTTTCTTTTAAATTTACGTTGCTATAGATAAATTCTATGTTTTATCAATAACATCATTTCTAGTATTTCGTAATTATATATTGTAATATTGTATTTTATAAAATAATTTGTTAATTTGATGTGAAAACAGAAAAGTATTTTATTATAGAAAAGCGGGCTTATTTAAATTAAAAATAAATAAAATACATTTGCTAGTCTACGTGCTGCCATCTGAACATACTTTTTTAAATTATATGCAAGTAAACGCACTTCGATCATAGATAGCGCAAACTTTCATGTTTAAAACTTCTTTTAGCAATGCTTTAGCATTATTTAGCAAATTTAGTATTTGAGGTTAGATTGGTCTGCCAACCAGACAAAGTTTGTTTTATAATAATAACTGTGCTTAAAAGAACATAAAACGTTAAAAATATTTAAAAATGGTTATTACAGAGACAACCGATGTGGAGATGAAAAGTGCCGACAGTCCTCCAGGTACTGAAGCTGTTGACAAGAAAGATACAGATTTACAAAATATCGTGGAAATACGAGAACAGTCCCGACAAATAGAAAAGGCGGTTTCAAACAAAGAAAATCGTTTCATATCACGCGTCCTACGAGGTCTCCCAACGACCCGTCGTAAATTAAATGGCATTGTTTTGAAGGGATTAATAAATCAACTATTTCCTCAAGGTGAAAAAGATGCATTACTCTGTTTTGTAGAAGACACCTCAGGGGGTTCAGATGCAGACTCTAATACCAGATCACGTTCTGCCACGAAGTCTCCCCTACCAGAGGTAGATGTGTATATACATCTCTTAATTTTAGTTCGTTTAATTGACAACAATAAACTTCCTGAAGCTGAACGTTGTGCACAAGCTCTTATGCAAAAAATTGTAAGCCAAAATCGCCGCAGCTTGGATCTATTGGCAGCCAAATTTTATTTTTATTATTCAAGAGTTGCTGAATTGTCAAATAAGCTAGATTCTATTCGTGGTTTTCTGTTGTCAAGATTAAGAACTGCTACTTTGCGAAATGACTTTGAAGGGCAAGCTGTGCTCATAAATTGCCTTTTAAGAAACTATTTACACTATTCATTATATGATCAAGCTGAGAAACTAGTAAGCAAATGTGTATTTCCTGAAATAGCAAGCAATAATGAATGGGCACGTTTCTTGTACTATTTGGGAAGAATAAAAGCTGCCCATTTAGAATATGGTGTTGCTCATAAGCATCTCGTTCAAGCTATGCGAAAAGCGCCCCAAAATGCAGCCGTTGGTTTCCGACAAACTGTTCAAAAGTTACTGGTTGTTGTGGAATTACTTTTAGGTAATATTCCAGAGAGACAAATATTCAGACAGGCAACGATGAGACGTTCATTGGCTCCCTACTTCCAGCTGACTCAAGCAGTACGAATGGGCAATCTTCAACGTTTCGGGGAAGTCCTTGAAAATTTCGGTCCACAATTTCGTCAGGATCACACTTTCACTTTGATCCTGCGTCTACGTCATAACGTTATTAAGACTGCTGTTCGTTCAATAGGACTTTCGTATTCTAGAATTTCTCCTCAAGACATTGCCAAAAAACTTGGAATTGATTCAGCTGAAGACGCTGAATTCATTGTCGCTAAATCGATAAGAGATGGCGTTGTGGAGGCTACTCTCGATCCATCCGGGGGATATATGCGCAGTAAAGAAAGTACCGATATTTACTGTACAAAGGAACCTCAGAACGCTTTTCATCAAAGGATTGCCTTTTGTTTGGATTTACATAATCAAAGTGTAAAAGCGATGCGTTATCCTCCTAAAGCATATGGAAAAGAATTAGAATCTGCAGAAGAACGTCGAGAAAGGGAACAACAAGATCTAGAATTAGCTAAAGAAATGGCTGAGGAAGATGATGATGGCTTTCCATAAATTTGTGGTGTCTTAATTTAATCAATTATATACTTTTGTTCTTAGTTCACAACTCATTTGTAACTTTGTCAAGTAGCATAATACCTTTTTCAGCTTTACGAGTATCCAAACACTTTATTAGAATTGTGTTATTTCTTATTTCCTGTTTAATAAATTTTTCTGCGATTATTGATAATTATTGTAGCAGTTGCTAATTCTGAAAAAATAGCAAATAGCAGTTTTAAGTCATTATTAAACTAATTTATGTAGCGCGTTATCGTATTATTTTGTACCCTATTTTTGAAATAACATTTAGCTGCTTCTTTTTCTTAAAATACTAATTAATTACTGCATTAATATTTTTTTTGAATCTGGGATTTTCAGATTCTAATTTTCTTTTGTACCAGTGGCGTAGTATGCTTCATAAAATAAAATTGGTGATTTAACAAAAGGAATTACTCTGCCTGTGAATAAGTTTATATACGTATATAAAAAGTATTTATTAGGTATTAGTACAAATACCATTTGTTAATACATATCACATTCAGCATATTCATATATAAACTGTAAAAGGTTTAAAACATATTTTAGATGAAGTAATTAATGTTTCAATTTGGAGAATTGTAAAGTAATTTCGATCAAATAAAGAGTGAAGTTCAAATAACTAATTGTTTCAACCTTTACTTTATGAGAATTGGGAATCATATTGAATAATAGGTAGGAAAACACAATTTCCACGTGGATGCTTTATGAAACCCTTAACAATTATTTCACTCTTCTAAGGCATCTTTAGAAGCAAAATTGCGTGGGTGAAACAATTGTCAAGAATTCAAGCATCTAATGGAAATTAAGTGTGTTTTCCTGGACTTGTTATTCAGAGTAAAATTCATTTGAATAAAAAAGTATTTTAGGTGTTCATTGTTTACATTCGAATACATATAATATAGGATAGAATTTAGGTATTACTGTTTTATTTTTAGCATACTAAAAATTTATGATAGCATTCACTTATTTCTTAAATATAACCAAAAATAGAATAACATTCCTTTTAGCTCTACATAATCTCAGATACGACACTGATGTGGAAGAGGATAAGGTGAAATTGACAGACCTGATATTTTTTATGCTCAAAAAAGCTGTCCATATTTACTGTCAATGGTCATTCCATTTTATAAATCTGTAATTTAATATTTGATAGCAAATGGCGAGTCTTTTCTAGATAAGGAAGAAACAAAAAATTTTGCAAAATAGCTTCAAAAACAAATATCGTTTTAGAATCGTCAAGGTAATGTAGAATTAAAGATGCTATCATAAACCAGGTTATGTCAGTGTCCTTTTTAACAGTTTATTAATTCTAGTGATAGTGAAGAAACGTTTTTCTAATTGCTGCAACATATTAGGTGAATCCTGCAATTACGTTTGTGATGTGAATGAAAAGGATGTGAGTAAAAGTAAATTTTTAATTATTTCTACTTAACAGTGGCGAATTTTCAGAAATTCGCTTACAAGTTTCAATGTAGTCTGGAGATGGTGTGTAAAGAGGATGTTTTATTATGGTTTAAGGACTTAGAAGGCTATAAACGGATAGAATTTATGTATGAATTAATAAACATGTGTGTTTCATTTGAAGTTCGGTTATTAGGTAGTTGCATTGAAGAAATAGGAAAGCACAGTTATCAAGAGCTCCGTGGTCCTGCTATTACAGCAAATGACATTGATAAACTGTCCAAAGATGGTACCTTTAGTAATGGTTTATTAGATGAAACAACACGACATCGAGCTGTAATTTACTTATCATTATTGTCATCACGAAACTGTAAATGTGCAGAATGGTTTTACAAGAAGTTATTAAGGACAGAATCTATAGAATCTTATATAGTGAATAATAATTGTAAAGATGAAAATCTATTAAGTGAACTTTTGTTATTGTACACCATAGCATTCTATCATCCTGCCTTTACCTTTGAACAGAAGACATTTTTTGGTAACATGCTTACCTATCTTATGGAACAAAAAGAAAGGAAAAGAAGAATATCACCTAAACCATTTGGAGGATATCCTCCCGGATTTGGATATCCTATGACACCTAAGATTTCAGTAAGTTTTTTGCTGCATTTAGTTTTATTGAAAATTACACTTTATTAACTATGTTTACTTATCCTTTTTTCTAAAAATATGCTATAAATCTTGGGAAAAAATAAATAATGAATAACTTTTCAAGCAACCCCTGCCTGAAATTTCTCAGATACCTGTGAAGACAGCATCTCCTATGTGTCATGGTGATTCAACAAATATCCATCATCATCCACCTTGTCTTCCAGCTCAGCCTACATTGGGAACACCTCTGGAGTTTGTGCAAATGTGGACAAGACCTGCACCATTCCCTGGTACTATTAGTGGTGCTCCAGATGTAAGATTCTTTTATTTAAAATTTTATTTTGGGTGTACTAATTCTTTGTTATAATGCAGGTAGCTCCTTTTCCACCCCAACCCATCTCTCCTATTATTAGTCAGCCTTCTTCACCAACAGCGAGTAGAGCGGCATCGCCTCATCGGACAGCCTTTCCCCCAATAAGGTCAACGACAGTCCTACAACCTCTTCCACCCATTACGTTACAATCACAACCCCCGTCCATTGAAATTATGCCTCAGTTACCTTTAGATCCGCTCTCTCACACCTCCGTCATGGGATCCTTTTCAAATGACTTAAAAAACGCCGACGACGAAGTAAGTAACTTAAGCAACAATACTCTTTCCATCACTCCGTTATCTAACCAGCATAATACCCTAGAGCGTCCCCAAAAATAGTCTTCAGCAGAAGCAAAATCATTCATTCATAAGTTTCCAACTACTTGATTTATTGTATTTTAATCTTTCAAAGGAAAAAGTCATGAAACTTAATTATTATTTATGTTTTGAAAAAAATCAACTTTTTCGTACGTTGTTTTTTCAAACAGATCTAACGAAATAAATGTTGTAGCATCTGATGAAGACGCTCGATTAGGTTGTATTATTATTATATTAAAATTCTTGGATTTTGCAAGTGTATATTAAGCACCGTCACTAACTAGTTAAACAGTAGTGGTTGACTGATGGGTTAAGCTTCAGCCAAGATTGGGTTAAAGAAATTGTTTTTTTACTTATATAAATAACAAAAGTCTGGTTTTGTAAAGTTTTTCTTTTGAATCGTAGCTAAGTCACATACAAGACGATAAACCTCGAGATAACAATTCATGGCTGGCGTCGATGGTTGTTCCTGTAGATATCAAGCCACCTAACGGAATAAGATTTCCACCTTATAAGGTTCCTCCACCTTCGTCACAACAGTATTTCTTTGAGCAAATGCAGGCTTTGAACTTAGACGGCGAAAGTTCATTGCATCGATCAAACTCGAGTTCATCAACAAGTAGCTTAAATCAATCTCCACCTGATACGCCAACCATAACTCCCACGACAACACCTCATGGTCCTGGTCGGGGCGCAATTGCACCTACGTCGTCATCCGATGGGAAAGTGCGCGTGAACGGTCTCCCGTCGGCTCCGCCACCTCCGTTGCCATATGCACCCCTGTGCGATACGTCTTGTCCTCCACCGCCCCCGCCCGTGCCTTACACGAACTATCCACCGCACCGTACCGTTTTTCAATATACGCAATCGTTTAGGCCCCCGTTTAGCTGTCCGTACACTTATCAACCTGCTGAAAATGTTATTTATTCATCGTATAGCGGTGCTCCATACGTTCCGATTATGATTTCAGGCGGTGCTGCGGCTCCACCACTTCCGCCCAGGAATTCGAACTGTTATAATTGTGGTGCATGCGGACATATCGGTGCCGAGTGCCCCGCCCAAACCATAGAGGAGATCACTCAAAAAAAGGCTTATACTTTGGAATTTAATGCATCGTTGCCCGATACGGACAACAAGTGATAATTAACATTAGGCGGCCATTAAGAGCACGTGTTGTTTTGTTTCTCTCATGCGTCATTGTCAAATTGAATCACTGAAAATTGTTACACTAATAGTTTGGAGTTGCCTGTGTGAGTTATACAGTTTTACTGTGCCCATGACTCGACTATCTTGTAGTTGTGTTTTTTCTTTTAAGACGAAGCCGAAGTCGTCAAGAGACTGAAAGCTATCACCTAATGAATATTATTATTATACTGATTGTAAATGTGTAAATTTGTTGATTTTATTTGTGTGAAAAGTTTACTGCGAACGTTTTTGGATGAAAGCATGCTAATGGAAAAAAGAAATGCAAAGAGATTATGCCAGTTTTTTTGTGATTTAANATCGCTCGTGAAATCAAAGTTTCAATTCTGCTTTGTAATTAAAAAACAAAATGCGCATGATTTGAGATCTGTAGTGTAACTATTATCTATGGAAGTGTAATTTGGGTTGCCAATCTCTTACAAACGAAAGAATGACGTGTTGAAGTTTGTTAGGATTTCATTAATTAGTGTATGTGGAGTTTTAAACTGTGTCTTGTGTTTTCCCAAAAAGTTGTAAGTTAATAGTTCAATATTTGTGTTTGTGTAGCTAAAACAAAATTATGTATAAAGCTACTAAAAACGAACTAATTTAACCGTTATTTTCAGGATGGCAGACAGAGGAATGTGAAATAATTTGATTTTATGTTTTATTTTTTACCACGCAAAATTTAAGCATCATTTATTTATTTTAGTAGATCATATGCTTTTGAAATATATAGCTTTTTTTATTTATTATACAATACATTATGGAAGGAGGCCGGTAAGTCAATAGGAATATATTTTAACATTACATTAAAACAATTTCATTCAGGTTTTCCTTGTTGTTACTGGAGCCTGGTGAAATATACTTTGAAGATTTCAGTGCAATTTTTATTCCAGTGGATACAACACCAAACACTTATGATATTAAAAAGCAGCCTGGTCGATTAAAATTATGTTCTAAATCTCTAGTCTTTGACCCAAAAGATATCAGTAAACCCTTAATAAAGATACCTTTAAAAGACTGTGACATTTTAGAACAGTGGAAAGGTTCAGCAAAATTTTTACAAAGTAACAATGTTTTAAGTGTTCACTGTAGACAGTACATATTTATAGAAATTATTTTAAAAGCTAAATACTTTGGTGTTTTAACAAGATGACTCACTTAACGATTCGTTGTTTTTCTCTATCGATTTTAAACGATTGAACTGCTTTCCTTTTAACCAATATTCTGACAATGGCTCTCACAGAATAAAAATCAAGATTCGTTAAACGTTGTATATCTTTCATAGTTATGCCTTTTGAATCGGAATCAAATACAATTTTAAAAACTTGCGTTAATGTAGAGTCGGTTAACGAAATTTCGCTTAGAGCTTCATCGTCTGTAAAAACAACTTGTTTAAAAGTATTATTGACAGTTTTTAGTATAAATACCTGAAGACAAGTCTGAGACATTTTCTTCATTCCAGCAACTTGCTACATTTAACTGAGGGTCGATAAGTTCTATTGCTCTAACAGTTTTTTCCTTATCTTTCTTTTTCAATTTCCACTCATATTTGGGTGCATCAGGATAAAAATCTCTATATCGTAATGGCTAAAAATAAAATATACTGAGTAAATTACTACTTATTGGAGGGTTTATCTAAATAAATAGAAAAATTAGGAAATTCTTAATGTTCTTATTGATTGATCCTTAGAATAACTTACCACATCAGTCCTTACAAATTTTTGAAAGATTGGTAATTTTAAAAGCTTGGAAATTTCTTCATTATTTGAAAATAATTTTCTGAGTTCCACATAATCCATTCGATAATGGGGCTTTTCTTTCAAAATATTTACAATTTTTTCTGTAAGTACTTGTGCTTTTGGTTTTCTTTCATTATAAAACTTGAGTAAATGTAAAACGTTTCCATTCATATTTGAATTGTTACTTTTCATCATAAAAGTTTGTTTGGTAATTAAAAGCTTTTCTTCCAATAATTTGCGATAATAAAATAACGTTTTAGGATCTTTTGCTATACATTGGAGTGACATTTTTCCTTGTGTTACTTCACCCTGCTTTCTTGAACGACCAATTCTTTCCAAAACACAATACTGACTATCCATAAGTTCTACTAAAGGATCACAGAGATCATTAAAAAGGGAATGTTTTCTCAGATTTTGTGAGGCAACAATAACAAGTTTATTTCCATATCTAAAAATTACTAACAAATAGTTTCTATTAAAAACACAATATAATAACGTTTAATCTCACTTTTCCATCAGTTCATACCAGTTTAGCTCTCTAACTTCATTTGAAACTAGTTTTCTTGAATAATAATCTTTACATGAACCAACTATCCCATTCTGTTTATCATTAACTGGAGAATATTCATAAATGTCAGGAACTTTCTTTAAAAACAAAAAAAAGGGATTATAAGCAGACATTACCTTTAGTTGATTTCAATATTATTGTGCAACTTACAACATCTAAAACCAATCCCAACTCATCATCTATATTTTGATAACGATCATGTACAAATAAATTTGGTCTAGGATTTTCTAACTCATAAAAGTCAATTTCTTTTCTGTATCTGATATTTTCCCATACATAGTTCTTTAGTTTATCACTGATATATGTATCTTCTAATGCATTAACAATTCTAGTCCATAAACCTATACAAAGTAAACCTGCACAAAAGTTTATCTTAAAAATATTCAAATAACCACCTTCAATAGTAATTCCATCAAGCCCTTCCAAAGCAACTTCAAGAGCACCTATTTCACACAGGTCACAATAAAGGTCTATGTTACAAGTTTTTACTTTATTTTTATATTTGATGGTTTCCTCAACAAACTCCACAATGTACTTATTTTTATTTGTAAAATCTTCGGTTGATGATCTTGTCAATGCAACCTCATTTTTGTTAGCACTGGGGCAATTGTCCGGTCTATTTACTTCTCCTGGAGGGTTGTTTTGTTTAAAATCCTTTTTTTGACTACATAAATCCATTTTTTTTATCCTATTAACATTACAATTACTTGATAATAAAAGAAACGTATTTTCGAGAAAGAAAAAATTACGTTTAAAATAAAAGAACAACTTATAAAAACCTACTGAATCTTGTTCATTAAAAAGGAAATGTTGCTTTTTTCTTAATTATTTTAATGTAATTTGTTCACGGCAAGAATTTGTTGTGAATAAACGTTAACTGCTTAGTAACACTGTCATAATCCTTATATATTTAACAACATTGTCGTATAGAAAATCCCAAAATGTCTTCTGTGAAATTGAACCCGGCATTAAAAGAACTTCGCCTACATTTATGTCCACAAAGTGCAACTAGCGAGGGCGTAAGGTAATACAGTGATATTTTTTTTTTTAATTTATGCATTAAATAAAAAAACTGAATTTGTTTCTAATATGAGTTATTTTCGCTTTTATAGGAAATTTATTCAAGAATACTATGTGAAAATAAAAACGGATAATCCGAAACTTCCAATTCTAATAAGAGAATGTTCTTTTGTAATACCAAAGATGTGGGCAAGACTTTGTAAGTATCGTATTTTGTTAAGTTTCAATACTGGCAGACCTCCAAGGAAATATATACTTGATTCAAAACGTCGCTAGTAATAAATTGCACATAGGTAATACTATATCTATCTACTTTGTAGCTAAAGGAAAAGAAGTGTGTGTAAATCTTGAAGGCATGAAATCAGATGATATAATGAAGACTATTGTAAATTTTTCTGAGAAAAAGTGTTAAGATATTAGAGAATATGTAATTGATTTTCCGTTTAAATTAATTTTAAAAATAAACACATTATAAAGACGTAATGTATTTAAAAAGACCAATAACGCTACATTATACTACATGCATTCTAATTTGAAGGATGATTTATTTTCATAAACATTCCCAATGTTGTAATAGCCATGGGCTTTACTTCAACACAAATCTCTTTAAAATCATGAAATTCCGTAGCAGGAACTACAACAAAAAATAATAATAATTAGCAAATAAATGGAAAAATCCTACCTACCTTTTTGAGGTTCTTCAAATGTAGACCAAAGGGTGCTCTTTTGATGTTCGTATGCTACTAGTTTAACACAGCCCAAATCTTGCAGATACTACAAGAAACAAATGTCAGCGCTTTTTGAAAAGACAATATTAATTTTTGATTTTACATTTACAAGGTGGTATACTTCTACATGTTTTAAGTAAATTAATTCTTTTGTAAGCTGATTTATGTTTATCAACGGATGAGTTATACAACTGGTAAGTCCTAAATGCAGCCAATTCTCTAAGATTTTTAGATTCAAAGAACCATTCACTCGAGTCCATGGGAATATTTGAATCTCTATGTCCATAGATTTCCTTTAAAAAGAAATATTCAGCACAAAGATTAAACAGCGTCAATGACATTTTTACTTAAAGGAATCGTCTTTTTTGAGGGCAAAAGATTTACAAATCCACACAGCCCTGTAATCAGTATGTACACATTTTAAAAAAGTTACTCCTGTCATAAAGAAAATTCCACATTCAATCAAGATTCTCGTTATTTCTAATAATTTTGACTTTTCTATAACATTAGAAAATGTTTCCTGCAAAATATATCATAAGAATCTTATTATTGTGGAAAATAATACAATTATAGATACCTTTATCTCTTTCATTGACGCACCTAAAACATTTTTGTCCTTTACATAGTTAACGAGTTCTACAATTGTTTCTAAATCAGAATCATAGCCTTTTTCATACATCTTGGCTTTCATTATGGCTTCATCATAAGGAAACTTGGAAAGAATTGCTGATCTAATATAAATCAACAAATTAACTTAATAAAACCAATTTAATTTATTTATAATTTACCTTTTAATTTTGTTGATTAGTTCGTCGCATTTCCTAGGAAATTCTTCATGATAATACCTATACAACTCTTCTTCCTTTTCTATATGTAAATTAGCTTCAGGGCAATTAATTATATAATGCTGATCAAGTTTATCTAAATATTCATCATTGTCATCGGGGAAAAGCCCTTTTTTTAAAAGGTATACCAATTTAGTTGGACCAGGAATCAAACTGTCTTCATCTGAATTATCTTCGGCTATTTTTTTCATTATAGTTGCTATGGGCCAAGATGCAATTTCCTTATTAGTTTTCGGAAACTGTTTGTATACTTCGGTTGTCCTTTTTGGAGTCTCTTTTGGTACATTAGACGAAGATGGTTGATCATCCAAAAGATTTTTACTGGGCGATTTCTCATAATTTTCTAGATTTGTATTAGATTGTACAGGTAATGTCTGTGACTGGCCCAATATTTCACATCGATTCTTAAAATCTGCATATTCCACATGTTTTAATCTAACAGGCTGGTTTACATTCTGGCACGAATCATTATTACTTTTCGATTTTTCTATTTCACCTTTAGTAGGTAATGTATGTGACCACAACCAACTTTTGGCATCCGGTAGTGAAGATCCAGTTTGACTTTCTTCCTCTGTAGTGGTTTCTTCGGGCACTTTCCTATCGAAATTTTCATCTTCTTCATCGTTCATCTCTTCTTCACAGTCAAACTCACCGTCTCGTTCTAAATTTTCGTAAATGTTATTAATAACTGATTCAATCATATCATCTACAGCACTTTTGTTGCTTGTATTATGACAGCTTGGTGTTCTAATTGCCACAGAATTTAAGACTCTACTAGAAAGGGTAAATGTTTGAACACCCCGAATGGGTACAGCAGGCGTAACTGATGATGTTGACATACAAACGGATTCATTTGGTTCTGATTTTTGTTCTGGCGATAGTTCACAGGATTGTTCATCGTCTTTATAATAAGAACCATCATTAATCATTGTTAACAGTCTTTTGTAGCGAACTGCAAGTACTTTAATAAGTTCTGTATGATCTGAAATGTTGGGGTTTAAGGCTAGAGGTTCGCTTGGAATTTTTAAAAAGACAGTAACTTTTGCAGTCATTATTAATTCAACAAAACCTAATATATTTCCAACCGTGAAATCTTTCATTAAAAATCCAGTTTCTTGAACGGGCTCAGTGATGTTCTTGTAAGTACACATGTCCTTAAAAGCACTAGCCGATTCAAAATAAGCATCCTTCGAAAATTTTGCTGTATTTTGTAAAAAAGTGTATCTGAAATTTAACTGAAATGACGTAGATGTAATGAAACTTCTCTTTTCCTTTCTTTTGGCATTTTTCTTTGATGAAATCATTTCGCTGTCTCTCAAATCCGTAATTGCTTTACGCAGAAGTGGATCGGGATATCTCTGATACACTTGAAACATTTGAAAAGACCAACCGATTTTGTCAGCTTTACAGCTTAAGGAACTATGCACAATAGTCTTAACTGTTTCAGTTAATATTTCTTTTTCATTCGTTGGTTCATAGTAACAGGGTTTACTAGAATAAGTAGTATCTTTTGAAAAATCGAAATTCATCAAAGATGCAGCCTTATCAGGCGTTAAAAGATCAACGATTGGTCCTTTAAAAAAATAACGATCTTCATCATTGCCGTAATTAAACTTCTGTTGATGAAAATATAAATATGCAGCTAAAGCAACAAATGCACTGTAATATTCTTTTTGGTTTATTGTGTTTTTGGAAACTCTTTCTCGAAAAGGACCAAATATTTTTTTAATAAATGGACTACTTTTCATTAATGCCAATTGTGCTTCGATTACACGAGCAACAATCTCATCTCTATGCAACCACATGATTCTTCGATGGCATGCTTGTGCTGTTTTGGATAAGCTTATAGGGGAAAATTTGTGAAGCACATCCCTGATTACGTGATAAGAAACAACTCTGTTGCGGTACTGTTCGCAAAAATAAAGTGAAGTAGTTCTCAAAATTAAAAGAAGTTCGTCTTCGGACTTTTTCCACACGCTTCGTGATTGCTTTATTTTCTTTAGAATTTTACGGTCGATATCATCGACTGATATAGTTCTACGTGCTTTTTTCATATTTCGACGAGGTAATATTTCCCGTAATTCTTTTTTGATGGTGCGCTTGTTCCTTTTATGTGCGCTTTTTGTTATTTTAGATGTACTCTTATTCTCTGTAGTTGGTAATGAAATATTTTTTTTTGAATTTGATTGCATTTTTTGTAAATCAGCATACTTTACTGGTTTAACATTTATCTCTTCTATACGCCTTTTCCTCACTCCTGTTAATCGCATGGTGGGAGATATTTCATCAAAATCATGTTTTTTTTGTTTAGTCCATGACCAATTGCGTTTTAAATGCGGCCAAAGAGATGAATCGAGACCAGCAGAACCTTTGCGATCACCAGGTACTTCACCATCATCGTCTTTAAATGCAGTTTCTGGTGTTTTTGGCAATACTGCTTTGACCATGGTGGGCTTGAAATTAACATTATCTATTTGAATAACTTCCCCGATGAGTGCGTTTCTCTGACCTAATTGCGTTTGCATAGTTATTGCCCATAAATGATGCCAATATGAATCGACGTCGCTGATATTGTTGAATTCAAATCGCATTTGCTCGTATTCCCTATCTTCGATTTGGTGATAGCCTGGTTTGGATACATCCGTATCTAAAAGGGACGTCCTGCGATTTAAATAAATGAACATTTGATCTTTTTCTCGCATTTTTTGAGGGCCAAATTGTAACAGGCCCATGTAACATAACAGAACAAGATCTTCGTGAAAAGAAAATAGATATTTACGCCTAAACATCATACCATTCAAAATGTTTAATGGTAAAAATTTAATGGGAAGGTGTTGCCTAACGGGGTGCTTCAGATAATGATCTATATTAGGTATTACATAATTTACATTGATAATTTTGAAGAAAATAGAAACAGGTAATCGTAAAATAATATCTGATACTAAGGCCCACCCTTCAGGCCAATCGGCATGTTTTGGCAAGGGTGAAACAAACATTTCCGAACAAACTTCTTCACCGTAAAGTGGAGGAAGCTCTTGCATGCTTTCTTCGTCCATGAGTATTTTTGATTCAAAAAGAACCCGTCGTATATCATTCGAAATGGTTTTACGTTCGCCATATATTAAATTAAAGAGAAATTTGTGCAAAATCTTAGCTCTGATAAATTTGGGACAGTAACCGTAAGTTTTTCCAATAAAATAATTGTATTTTAAGGTGGGCCGTAGACCAGTCGTTAAGCTTTTCAGTTCCCCAACACTCATATCGACTGTACGAGAATCGAGTAAATTTCGAACATTTTGTTTCTTTTTGTCGTCTTTTACAGATTTCGCAACAGATAGTTTAATTTTTAATTGTTCTACTGCAGACATTAGTATATAATGGTCTAGACCTACTGATGGATGGCATACTATGTATTTAATTTGAAACGTATTTTCCATTTTAGCAACGACCTTTATTACTTTTAAGAATCCCTGGACAACTAGTCTTCCAATTAGTCTTTGCATCGTTTTCTTATCAATTTTCGTTTTGTACCCTTTTTCTTCTTCAATTTTATGCATTAAATTACACAGTTTAATGAGCTCAGGAAAAACCATTTCCTCTCGTATCTTTTCTATTATCGCATTTGCTCGAACGTTCTTTTTTACAGTAGAGCCGTACTCTGCTTTATATTTAGAATCATCAGTGGCGAATTTTTTCGGAAGAGTGGAAGCATAATACGAAACTTCAACATTGTCTTTGTCCACCGTTTTCTTTAATAACACGGGATTTAATCCCATTAAACGAAAATCCATTGCACTTCGGGTATTTTTTTCATCTTCTTCAATATCAGTAGTAGTTTTATCGAATACTTCATTTTTTTCGGTTTGAAGTGCTTCTAAAGAACTAGTACAAATTTCATCAATTTTTGTTCTTTTATTCGTTGTGAGTGGCTCAGAATCAAAACTTTTCCTTTTTTTGGGTAGAGCCGGTGACATTTCAAAATCATTGATGGAATGTAACTTTTGAAAATTAATTATGGAAATATCAGAGTTCAACTGATAATATTTGTACTGAAAATGTTCTTCTATATTCTTTTTAATTCTATCTTCAATTTCAGACAAACTGGATGTATCAATGAATCGAATAAGCTCAGAAATGCGCTTGAGAAGTTGTGAAATATCCTCCTTGAGTTGTTTTGAACTTATACTTTCAATACTTTCAGAAAACAGTTTTTTAAATATATTATATATTCTTTCTGGAACAGGTTCAACTGGTTTTTGTGGTCTGTTAATTTTTACTCCAGTCTTTATGTTAGCAGTGAATTTTACCGAATTCGTATTCTTAATTATTTTTGAACATATTTGATTAAAAGTTTGAGACGTTCCCTGAGGAAAAACGTTTATGGTAAACTTTCTTTGACATGGGCTAAAACTGAATGAATTCTTACAAAGATTTGATTCAATTTGTAAGAGATTTTTATATGTTTCTAATGATTCTTTGTCATTTTTGTCTTTTTCTGCTTTCATTAGCTCAGAAGAATCTAATAATGATCCTGACTCTGCTTGTAGACTACTCAGTCTTTTATTATTTATTTTGTGATAATTTAAATCTTTTCTTAGATTTCTAACTAAAATTCCAGTATTGTTTGAAATATTTACAAAGGCTTTCAAGGAATTTTCAAACTGACTTTCAATATTTAAAGTTGGTGATGATTCCAAATGATATTCATCAATACCTAACAAATTTGAGATGTGCTGATTTGATTGTTTTAAAACTTCTTTATTCTCATTACTTTTCTTAGGTTCTTGAGTTGTTGACTTCTTTACATAATATCTATAATGTTTATAGAAATTATTTTAAAAGCTAAATACTTTGGTGTTTTAACAAGATGACTCACTTAACGATTCGTTGTTTTTCTCTATCGATTTTAAACGATTGAACTGCTTTCCTTTTAACCAATATTCTGACAATGGCTCTCACAGAATAAAAATCAAGATTCGTTAAACGTTGTATATCTTTCATAGTTATGCCTTTTGAATCGGAATCAAATACAATTTTAAAAACTTGCGTTAATGTAGAGTCGGTTAACGAAATTTCGCTTAGAGCTTCATCGTCTGTAAAAACAACTTGTTTAAAAGTATTATTGACAGTTTTTAGTATAAATACCTGAAGACAAGTCTGAGACATTTTCTTCATTCCAGCAACTTGCTACATTTAACTGAGGGTCGATAAGTTCTATTGCTCTAACAGTTTTTTCCTTATCTTTCTTTTTCAATTTCCACTCATATTTGGGTGCATCAGGATAAAAATCTCTATATCGTAATGGCTAAAAATAAAATATACTGAGTAAATTACTACTTATTGGAGGGTTTATCTAAATAAATAGAAAAATTAGGAAATTCTTAATGTTCTTATTGATTGATCCTTAGAATAACTTACCACATCAGTCCTTACAAATTTTTGAAAGATTGGTAATTTTAAAAGCTTGGAAATTTCTTCATTATTTGAAAATAATTTTCTGAGTTCCACATAATCTAAATATCTTTTATT